CGGCAGTACGGCCTCCTTCTCTGCTTCTTCTGGCGCGGCTTCCTCAGCCTCCTCGGTGGTCTGCGGCGGCAGTACGGCCTCCTTCCCTGCTTCGGCTGGCGCAGCTTCTTCAGCTCCCTTGGCGGTGTGCGGCGATTGTTGCCAAACTTGTTCTGCTTGTTTACCTTGTTTAGGCGGTTTTACTGTTCTTTCTTGATTTTCATTGGTGCGTAGTGGACTGCTTTGTTCTTTGTTTCGGACGGGTGTGTTCGCTTTCGGGCGTGTTGGTAATGTGGTGTCGATGCTTTCGAGTTGCTGAAGTTTTTCTGTCAGTGATGCAAGGCGTTTGCGGAGATAAGCCCTTGAGCTGTGAGTGGGTGTAAACTCATTTTCTTGCTGCTCCTCGCGTGACTTCATATCGTGGTCGTTTGTGTCGCTCGATGTTCTGCCTGGAGCGGCAGGCGTGTTGTGGTTAGGCGGTGCTAGCAAGGATCTTGTCACTAGTGAAGGCTGCGAGGTTGCTTTTCCACTCGGTGGGGTTTTTGTCTTGGTTGTCGGAAGTTTTGCTTCCGTAGATGGAATGGGCTGCCCATGCACGTGCATGTTGGTCGGGATATCGTTTTGGGGGCCGAAGTGTTCTGTTGGTTCAATGGTGGGGGTGCCCTCGCGTTCGACAGGTGGTGCCGGCATAGTGTCGCCTTCGTGCGCCTGCGCTGTTGCAGCGTCCGCGGGCGGCGCAGCCGGGCGGTGGTGGGAGTCCAGCACAGTTGCCTTTGCAGGGTGAGGCTGCGGCGCGCCTCGCAGTTCCCTGGCCTCCTTGCCGTGAGGCACGTCGCTGTGAGGGGACGCCTGCGCAGTAGTTGTTGAGGGGCATTTAGGCGGCTGTAGTTTGATACTTGCCGCCTGTTCCGCAGCTCTCGCCTCGCTTTTCCCCTTCGCTAGGAGTGTGTGTGGCCGCTGTGGGTGCTGCCGGCCGTGGTGCAGTCGCTTTTGCGCGACCCGCGCCAAGGCGCTTCTGTGCCGGTCTGCCATCACGGCGAGGGTGGCCCACGAGCTTCCCTCGTCGAGGGCTATCGCCCGGCGTTCCCCCTCCTCCGCCGTCGTTGTCAGCGCCAGCGCCATCTCCAACGCCTCGCGCCTTTCCTGCGCCTTCTCGCTCGTGGTGCGGAGGTCGTACGGGCGGCGCTGCTGCCACAAGCCGGCGGAGGGAGGAACGTTGCGGAAGAGGCCTCCGCCCGGCGTGCTGCGCTTCGAGGAGGCGGTTGCCGTGGAGTCCCGCTTTTGCCGTCCCAAGATCTCCTCCATCAGCGTCGGCACGCCGGGGGTTTCCGGCGTTGAGGCGCAGGCCCCCGGCGCAGCAATGGCCCCGCTGTGCGAACCCGCGCGTGCGTCCTGAGGTGGCGTGGGGGGCAACTGCGAACTCTCCTCCTTCGACTCCACCACAACGCGGAAAGTGCCGGTGCAGTTCTGCACGCTCTGGGGCGTCAGTAGGGTGTAGATGTGGAAGTCCCGGTCCAGGTAGGTGACGTACGCGACGGCCAGGCCGAGCAGGGCGGCGTTCTCCACGATGGCGCCGACGACGTCCTCAAAGGCGCAGGGCCCCTTTCCCCTGGGAGCCATCACCTTCGAGGCGCCGACGCGGTCGCCGCCCTTCGTCACGAACGTCACCGTCCAGTAGCCGAGGTCGTCGGGGGGGCCGGCGCTGCCGTTGCAGCCGCTGGAGCGGTTGCCGCCTGTCCGTGACTCCGCTGCGCCGCTGTGGGGCCCAAGGGAACCGGGGCTGTGGCGACTCGCCGCCGAGCGCCACGATCGTGACGACGACGGCCGGTGACTGTGGCTGTCGCCGACGCGCATCAACGACTGGTTCGATGCGCGTGCCAGCTGCGGCGGCCCCAGCGGGTGCGGGCTATCCGGGCGCGGCGAGAGCGTCTCCGCGTCGGAGGTAAAAATAAGGCTGTGGCGTGTTTGTCGCGTATGCGGCGGCGTCGGGTGCCCCGTTGCGGTGGCCGCTCTACTGTGACTCGCATGCATTTCTTCACACCTCCCTGCACGTCACACTACAGGCCCCGCTTCTCAGCCTGCGCCTCTTATTCGCCTGTTTTGTACTTTTGTTGCTTTTTGCTTTTGCCTGCTGCCTCCCGCAGGACGTTGATTGCTGCCAATGCTCGGGTGCGCCACACACAGACACAGACAGACGGAGAGAAAAAGAGAGGAGCTGTCGCAGTAGCAGCCACCGCGGCAGTGTTGCCCGCGCCGTGTAGAGTCGCAAGGCACTGCAAGGCGAGCTTCTCCTTGTGCCCGTCTTCCGCGTGGTGGGGGATGGACAGGCAGGCGCGCTCCCGCGGTCGCTTCTCGCCTCACCGCCCCTCCTCCCTGCAAGCAACTAACTGTGATTATATACAATATTATATATATATATATATATACGCATATATGTATGTATATAACCCTGCGCCAGAGGGGAACGGTGCTGTGGTCCGTATTCCGCTACAGAGGGGCAACAAACGAAGGAAGGCGCGTTTCTGTAGGGGGTGGGGAGGTGCGTCGGCGTCAGCGAAGAAGCACAAGAACGGCAAACGACGGCGACAAGAAAAGCAAAGGCAAAGAAAGAAGAAAAAAAAAAAATAGCGGCAAGGCTGACACATAACTCATAGCACATCAAACACACACACACACATATATATATATAATGCGAATACATATTTCCTTTCGTTGTTGGTTTGATTCTTTTGCCTCTTTGCTTCTGGGCCGGACTGTCGGCGTTGCGTGGGTCCGGGCCTGCGTTGCCACGTAGACGAATGCGTGGGCCGCGCCGCGAGGACACGTGGACATACAAAGCGAAAAAAGGATAAGAAAAAAAAACAATATAACAAAAAAAATCGTCAAGAAAACCCGTTTGGTCCCCCTGCTTCGGTTCGTGTACATAAAAACAAAACAAAAGCGCGGCCATTGGAGACGCGGCCTTTCGCCCGCACCACGGCGCTCTCTCTCCCTTTCTCTCCCTCTCACTCTCTATATGGGCGCCGGCACGAAGAAAAGATAAAGTGACAGATGCCGTCAGCACCCCACCGCCGCTGCCGCAAAGTAAAGCAACCAAGACAGACCGCCGTGGTTGTTCCACCGCAGACGCGAGGCTTTGGATGAATGCGCGTGGTGGTAAGTGGGAGGACACACACGGAGGCCAAAACGTTGGCCCCACGTTCACACGCACAAGACACACGCGTACTTCCCTCTCCTATTCACCTGCAAGCGGCAGCGGAGCTGTGACGCATTCGGCCCTCGCTTTTTCATTTCTTTCACCAACCGCGCACCCATTGCAGGTACTGCCGTGATTTTTGGGCATTCCGCACAGACGACAACGCTTCCTCCTTTAGGCCGCCATCAGCTTTTTGTGCCTTGCCGGCCGCGCCGGCGTAGACGCTCAGCGGCGGATGGAAAGAGTAGCGCCGCTTCAGGGCACGCGGGTGGCCCGCCCCGCCGTCGTGAGTGAAGTCGCAGCTCAGGCCTGCGGACTGGACGCCGCGGCCCGTGCCGCGCAGCCCACGCGGCGGGGTGGACTCTGCAATAGAGTGCAGCCGTGCAATCCCGTCCGCGATCTCGCCCCGCAGCCGCTCCACCACGGAGAGCGGCGGCGCCGCAACGACCGAGCACGCAGAGAACGGGCGTGGCGCCGCGTCGCAGGAAAACGCGTCTTGCACGCGGGCAGCATCAACCGGCGCGCCCTGTGAAGACGCCGCCGGGGCCCTGTGCGCTAGCACCCTGCTGATGTTGCTGCTCGGCGCAGTTCTCGCAACACCGCATGCGGAGCGGCTACCGTCGCTTGACAACACACGCGCTACCGGCGCACTCAACGAGGCGGCCGCAACGCCGCCCAACTTCGGGGGCGACGACGCACAACTCGACGGCCGCGCTGCCCTGGCGCCGCGTCCACCCTCCTCTCTGCTTGCCGTGGAGGGGCAGGCAGCCGTCGGCGGCGTGGTGGGCTTCTTCTCCGCGGGCGTGCGGGCGTTCGTGGGGACGACAAACACCCTGAACTGGCATCCGATGCTGCGGCAATTCTCATGCGAGAGCGGGACGTAGCCACCCAACTCCTCACTGTAGTAAAAAACAGCGCGGACCACGTACGACAGCGGTGCCACCAGACGTTTTAGGTGGCGAATGACAACTGCCTCGTCGAGGAGGAAGGTGGTGGCGGTGCGTGTGGGCGACATGCACTCCAGCGTCATAAACTCACCCGCGCTTTCGGCGGCGCCCACCACGCCCGTGGTGAGTGTGACGCACCAGCGACGGTCTTGCGCCCAGCCCGGGCCCAACGCCGTCTCAGTCCGGGGCGCACCGCACGACGTAGCGGGTCGCCGTGCAGCGGACGGCGGCGTCAAACGCCGGGGCCCGCAATTCCGCCAAAGATACGTCGAGAGTCCCGAGCGACGCAGGGAGCCCGAGGCGCCGGGCTGCGTTTGACAGCCGCTGGCGCCGGCGTTGACGTCGCTCTCGCCCGGGCTCCGCGGACGGCGTGGCGGGCTGGCGCGTTGCTGCTGCACCAGCAGCCGCAGCCGCTCCACCCACCTGCCGGTGTCGTCGTCGGGCCCGGGGGAGGCGCACGGCGGCGCGAAGGAAGAAGAAAACTCGTCGACAGAGGCGAGACCGTCTGCCTCCTGCGCGTGAATGGAGCTGAGCTGCGAGAGACGCGAGTGCAGCCCCGATCGACTTACCGCGGAGCATGGCGACCCGCACCGTGACTGTGGAGGCACACCCTCAGCGGGGGCAGCCTGGCTCAGCGGCAGTTGCATTCTGCACCCGCGGTGTACTTCACCGCCTCCTCACTGAGGGCACACGATACACGCGAGAAAGCGCTTTCCCCTTATTCCTCCCCTCGCAAGTGCTCTTCTCACGTGCGCAAATAAGTACACACCCCCTCCGCGTGCCAAATGCGTAGCAAGAGAGAAAGAGAGAGAGAAAAAAAGCACGTTTATCCGTCAGAAGCAAAGGCGAGGAGCAGGCACGCACACACACACACACACGCATATATATATATATAGACACACGCCAGCGCAGGTCTCCAATGGAGGAAAAATAAAGAAGGAAGAGGCAGGGAGTAGCCAATGAAGCGAAAAGCCAGTGCTTCAGCGATCACGGCGCCCACTCACGCTGCCGCTTCACCCCCCGTTTCCCCTGTACAACCGCCTCCTTGGCTCGCTCGGCTTGGAGTCGTCGTCGGCGCAGGAGCGACGTCGTCTTTTCCCAGACAGCCTCCATCTCCTTCTGATGCCGCGCAAACCCGGTCTTTGCCAGCTGCAGCCCCTCCTCTGTCTCCCCCAACCAGAAGTCTTTGCTTCCTTGCGTCATCAGCCGCAGGACGTTCTCCCACGCGGCCCGCGTCTCTGCATCGCAGCGGACGCGAACACCGCTGAGAAGCACGTACACGGGAGACTTGGTCAGGTGCATGGTCTCCAGAATGTGAATGCCACCGTGCACGAGCGGCTGCAGCAGCGCGAGCAGAATAGAAAGACTGGCGCACTGTGGGACGCCGAAGACGAGCATGATTGCGCCGCCCTCCTCGACGTGCTCCACCGCAAGGCGAAGCTGCGGCAGAAGGAAGCTAAACCACGGCAGCACGGGCTGCACCTCGCCGCCGCCAACCGCCGCCTCCGCCTTCTTCGCCGCACTCTCGGTGTCATGTGGGCGCAGCTCCGCGATGCGCTGCCCGTGGTCCTGCACTGCCCCACCGTTGACGAAGCAAAAAGTCCGTCCTCTAATGGAGTCGTGCCAGTCATTCTCAGTGATGCTTCCCGCAATAAACTCGTAGCGCGCGGCCGCCGCCGGTGACTGCAGCCATGACGCGTCGGATGCGATGCCGCCGTGACTGACTGGGAGCGACACCCCCACACCACGCCACTGCAGCCTCGTCACGAGGAACTTTGACACGCCGCCGGGCGCGGAGCCGAGGTCAAGAAACGTGGGCGGGCCCTTTTCTTCCGCTGCGTCCCCCGCCGGCGGGGCGTGCCTTGCCCGAGGCGAGACGGTAAAGAAGTCCGGCGCGGCACGCGGGAGCACACGCCCGGCGTGCTCACAGTACCTTTCACACAGCCTGACGATGTCGCTGTTACCAAACGAGGTCGCAGGCGCGGCGGCCGAACCCTCCTGACGCTTGCCGCCTGCCTCTTCTTGCCGCTGCTTGTACCACCAATCCAACGCCTCCGACTGCCAGCCCGCCGCCCGCTCCCGCTCAAGCGCAGAGTAGACTGCGGAGGCTGCCTGCAGGTACTCGTGCCAGCGATGAGGCTCGCCAATGTCACTGCCCGCCGCCGCGCCCGCCACACACACGTCCATTCCCCTGCCACACCTCGTCCTTTTTTTTCTTTCCGCAAGCGGCAAAACAAAAAGAAAATAATAATAAAACAAAAACAAAAAAAAAGAGGCGCATCGGAGCAGAAAGAGAAAAGCGTGTAATTCTTACGCCCGTGCGACGACCCCGTGCACCTCAACACATGCTGTGCGAGAGGAACCCCCCAATCACACAGGGCGCAGAAGGAAAAGGACACCAACAACAACAACAACAACAAGAAGAGCCAGGGAAAGTAGCCTCATAAACTGTGATGGTTTTACTGAAGGAAAATCCCTTCCCCCTGCCCCTCGCCGCCAGCCTCCCTCCCTCTCTCACCCTCTCCCGTTCCTTTTTTATAGTTCTCTGCATCTTACCCGGTGCATGCTGCGTCTCACACATGCACGCACGCGCGTCCTCCGCCGTGGTTTCCGTGCCAGTAAACGCTGCGTCGCTAATTTGCCGCAGGGTTCTTTTTGTTCCGCTCAATATTATAAATGTACAACTTCTTCAGCACAGTGTCCGTGCACTGGCCAAAGGCGACGTTTTCCTTGAAGCAGTCCGTTGACCACCGCGCCCCTGCCGCCTTCTGGCACTTCACACCGGCGTCGTACTCCTTCTTGCAGAATATCATTGCAATCCCCTCCAAGTAGGCACTCTTCTGCTTCTGGCACACAAAGTTGATGTCGTCATTGACGCGAGACTGGAGGCACCGCTCAAGGTCCTGTCGTTGCTTGTCGTACACCCTCGTGAACTTGTCCGCGAGCTCATTGAACTCCTTAGTGTTGCGGGACATCACCGTTTAACCCGCACCACAACAAATATACCTCGTGTTCGAAGTTTTCCCGCTCTCGCACACAGTGAAAAGACTGTGATGTCCGACCTGAGTTTGGACAGTATCTCCCGTTTCAGCCGCTAGTTTATTATTTCCTTCTGGCGACGCGAGTGACGCCCACACATATATATATATTTCAGTGTGCGTGTGTGTGTGTGTGTGTGTGTGTGTGTGTGTCCGCAGCTTACTTCGTGTGGTGCGCAGCAGCGACGTCAGTCGTGATGTCCCCCACCACCCGCTTTTTGTCTCTCTCTCTCTCTCTCTCTTTTCTTCTTACCCACCCCCCTCCTTCCCTTCCACAACGCGCCAATGCGTTGTAAGTGCCGCGTGTGAATGCACATGTGCATTACGGGTGGGGGGGGCGGCGCCCATTACACGCCGAAAGAAAAACAGAAAGAGAAGAAAAAAAGGGTTCCCACGCGCACAAATTATTATTTTTTTTTGTATGCACGTGGGCGGCAGGGAAGTGGATCCGCCGCAGACAGGGGGGTTTGGCGGCGGGAAGCCGAGGAGGTAATCCCCCAAGCTGCGGCTGTTGTTTAGGCGCATGCAGGTGGAGAGAATGAAAGAAAGAAAGAAAAAAGTGTCAGTCTCCTTTATTCGCTGTTATGGACTCCCCGCCATCTCTCACTTTCCCTCGCCCTCCCTCTCGTCTGCGTCTCCCTTATTTGTTTGCTTGGCGCTGCTGCTGCTGAAGGGGGGCGGGGTGTTCTTTAAATTTGATGTCGTCCTTTTTTTTTATCTTCTTTCTTTTTTCCTGTTGTTTTTTGTTTTCGTGCTTTTTTAATTCGTTGCTTCTCCGGGTTAATTGCCCCCCTCCACCCACAGAGCCGCAGACACGCCGGCCTCGCTACTTCCCCGCCCCTGGCATCGCACGCATGCGCAGGCTCTAGCGGTGGCGCTCAAGGAACAGGCGCACCCCGGAGGTGCCGATGAGGCGCCCCGACAGGACTGCCCGCGCGTGCAGCGCACTGCCCTCATCCACGAAGGACGCCACGACGTCCTCCACCACGTCGGCGCCCTCCATGGCCGCCGTCGCGGCAAACGGGGCCCCACCGCCCGTCCAAATGTCGCGATCCTCCTCGCCGTCACTATCGCCGACGTCCGCGCTCGCGTGTCCTCTGCCTTTCGTCAAAGTGCGGTGCCGTTTCTCAGGCCGCTGGCCGCCGGCAGCCGCGCCGGCCGAGACCGTCGCAGGGGTGGCAACAGGGGCGACGGCGCTGCTGCTGTCACTCGCGTCGATGAGGGCAAGGAATCCCTGTACCCCGCCAAGCGCGCGGAGGGCAAGGGCCCGCGGGGCCGCGGGCACAAGACGGACGTCCACCAAACACGCCTGCTTTGCACACTCCACGGCGGAGAGCGGGTAGTACTGCACCTTCCACCGTCTGCCATACATTTTGGCGTTCTGCAGGCGCTTGAACATGGCCGCCGCGACGGCCTTGTTAGGGACCTCAAAAGTGAGCGTCGCCCCATCTGGTTCCTCCATAATGCCGGCGTCCGAGATTTGCCTCTGGTGCTGTGGCAAGAGACGTCGCACGGCGCGGGTGTAGATGGCGGACATGTTGCTCGGAAGATCCGCCACGACGAATGAGCCATGAAGAACCTCTGCGTCTCCCCCACCACAAGGATGCTTTCTTTTGGCCTCCCGCTCTCCCTCACCCCCGTCATAACGCGGAGAATGAGGACGTTTCGCGGCCGGTGATGCCGCGGCACCGCGGCCGCCACGCTTCTTCCCGTGCGTTTGTGTTGTTGTTGACATTCCTTCCTAGACGCGTCTGTCACCGCCACCACAGCCCGTGTCTCGCGCAGCCACCGCGGGCAGCTTGGCCTATGCGTGCAGGTGCCGTGCGTGCCTGTGCAGGAGCCCCTCCCCCAGACACGCACACGCGCAGCTGCGATTGGTCGTGCAGAGGCCCAGGCAGCCGTCTGTGGCGTCCCCCGCGACGCACACGCAGCAGCAACCGAAGAAGGAAAGAAAAAGAGAAGGTCATGGCAGGCAGTACGCTTCTTTTTTATTATTATTTTGGTTGTTGTTTTTGTTCGCGCCCCCCCAGCCACGCCACGTGCACGTCAAGCAGCAGCAGCAGCAGCAGCAGCAGGGAGGGGAATACCACCGCGAGACAAGAGCGTACAGGGTGGGGGAGTGCGCGGAGGGCCGGCAATCAACATCCCCTCCTCTCTGCTTCTCTGTCGGTCGGTGGCGGTATTTGCCACCTCCACGCAGAGGCGTATCTTCCCCGCTATCGCACGGTTTCCCCTCAGGCACGCACACACGCGCACACGCACGGCAAGAAAGCCAACACAGGAAAACACCAAGCAGCACAATAAGAGGGGAAGAAGGGGGGGAAAAAAAACCTAAAAAAAAAACGAACAAT